CAAATAAAATAAAATTTAAAAGAAAACCAAAAACCCCAAGCCAAAACCAAAATCAACCAAAAAATAAAAAATAAAATAAGGCATGAAATGTAGATGTAACCAACCGTCTTATTAAATAAGAAACACAGAAACAATGTAAAAGAGAAAGCCAAGAGGTCAGAACTCAGAGCTAAAATCTCACCCTTCCTCCTGCTGTGTCCCAGCTTCCCAAAAGAGAGCTATTTCCTTGTGTGTCATTCCTTTCCAAGTCATTCTGCCTTCTCATTGGTTGTAAACCCAAACACATGACTGCCTCGTCACTGTCTGTATGTACAGCCCCCTAGGTCTTAAAGGCATATGTCTCCAATGCTGCCTGTATCCCTGAACACACAGATATCTATGGGATTAAAGGCGTGTGCCACCACCGCCATGCTCTTTCTATGCCTCTAATAGCTCTGACCCCCGGGCAACTTTATTTATTAACATACAATCAAAATCACATTTCAGTACAATTAGAATACTACCACAATGAAAGGTATAGTATGACACAGTGAGTCACACAGTATACCCTTTAGTCCACAGATCTTTACTTGCAAGTGTTCATTACTCTGGTTCAAGGCCTCTGGCTTCCGCTATACCCTTGATACTGGGCCCTCACTGGGACTCCTCTTGGCTATCTTGTTGCGTTGTGTCATGGAAATCCTGCAGCTTTGGATCTGCAGGTCTGGTCCTTTCACAGGCTCCAGCAGTTCATAGTTGAGGTGGATGTTGGGGTGGGCTAACTCATAGCCCTGGTTCTGTACCTGGGTGTTAGCTGGGCTGGTCAGCCTGCCAGCTTTTCCTCATGGTCACCCTCAGTGTGGGCTCTCCTGCACTGTCCTGACTAGCTCACCCACTACAGCAAGCAGCAAGCAGCGGGGCCAGTTTTCCTGATCTCAATGCTTTTGGACCAGCTTACCTGCATCTATATCACCAGGATCAGCTCTACTGTTTTGCCCAGGTGAGGTGCAGGGCACATTTTCCTGAGTGCTGTAGTTGGTGAGGTGCAGGGCAGCTCTCCAGCCTACAGTCGATGGCAAGGGGAGGGTGGGGATGGGTGAGCAGGGAGGGCATCTTTCTCTCACTCCCTCCCACTCACGCCGATGGGGGGGGGGTTGGGTCAGATCTCTTGCTCTCACACCCTCAGAGCCGGGTCACCTGCACCATGCCGACAGTGTCAGCTCTACTGTGTTGTCCAGGCAAAGTGCAGGGCCTGCTATCCCTCGTGCTGCAGCTGGTGAGGGGCAGGGTCATCTCTCCTGCTCTTATGACCTCAGAGCCAGCTCTCCCACCCACCACAGGCAGTGAGGAGGGGGGGGGAGATGCAGGAGGGCATCTCTCCTTGCCCACTCCACCATATGGCAGATGAGGAGTGGGACCAGATCTCCTGTGCTCTCCCCACCCCGCAACAGGGTCAGCTTATTGTGCTGCCCAGGCAAAGTGCAAGGATCACTGTCCTGAGTGCTGCAGCTGGTGAGGGGCAGGGTCAGCTCTCCACTCTCATGACCCCCCAGGACCAGCTTCCTGCCTACAGTAGGTGGCAAGGAGTAAGGGGAGTCATATTTTTTTAATTTAAAAATTGTTTCATACAATATATTTTGATCATGATTTCTCCTTCCCCAACTCCTCCCCATCCTTCCTACCTCCCCACCTACCCAACTCCATGCCATTTTTTTCTTTCTCTTTTTAGAAAACAACCAAGCAAACAACAGACCAGAATTTTAAAAAAGGAAAAAAGAAAAAACACAAGAAACACACACACCCATAAAAAGCACAAAATCAGAAACCATAATATACAAGCAAAAGACCAGTAAGACAAAAATATCTAAACAAAGCAATATGAGACACAAAGTCTACAAAAAAAATACCATATATCATTGAGTGTGTTTTGTATTGGCAGTCTACTGCCGGATCATGGGGCCTATCCATAAGTGTGGTTAATATACCCAGTGAATAGAGTCATTTAAATTCAGACCTCTTAGCTATGTGTCCAGCAATTGTTCTGTTAGTTTATAACAATGACCCCTCCAATGAAAAACTATTATGTGAAGGAGAGACTGACTTTCTTGTTCTGGGGATGTAGCTCAGTTGATAGAATGTTTGCCTAACATGCCTGAAGTCCTGGGTTTGAGCCCCAGACTGGCATAAACAGGGATTAGTAGCATGTGTCTATAGCACTGGGGAGTTGGGTGCAGAAGGATCAGAAATCTAAGGTCATGTTTGGTTACACAGAATGTTTGAGATCATCTTGAGGTACATGAGTTCCTGTTTAAGGAAGAAAAAAGCAAGAGTAATGTATAAAGCAGCACACTGGCACTGGAAATCATGCTTGGCAAATAAGACAGCAAAGATAAAACTGTGTGTGAGTGTAAAGGTGTATGCAGGTTGGGAGACAACCTTGATCGTTGTTCCTCAGGAGCTGTCCATGTTGCTTTTTGAGACAGGCTCTTTCACTGACCTGGAGCTCACCAAGTAGGTAAGTCTGGCTGGCCAGTGGACCCAAGGATCTGCCTGTCTCTATCACACAGTGACAGTATATGTCACTGTACTTGATTAAAAAAAAAAAAGTGGTTCAGAGGATTGAACCCAAGTCTCACATTTGTGTAGCAAGCACTTTTTTCTTCCTTCCTTCCTTCCTTCCTTCCTTCCTTCCTTCCTTCCTTCCTTCCTTCCTTCCTTCCTTGCTTTCTTCCTTCCTTCCTTCCTTTCTTCCTTCCTTCCTTTTTAACTGACTGAGATATCTCATAAGCTCTGATTTATTTTTTTAAGTGTCCGGATACAGGCAAGAATAATGGTGGACATTATAGGGAAGAAAACGTTTGTTTTGTTTAATAACTTTTTAACAGAGTTAGTACCATTTAGTCATTGAAGGCGCTACCTTGGGAGTATACAGAAACATTGAGCAAATTAAAATGACCAATGACCGCCACCACCAACAAAAAGCTGTCCCATGCTATGTGTCCTACCTATGGTGGCTTATCTAATGCACTCTTCTGACTATAGAATGGTCGGTGCTTTTCATCGTCTTACAGTTATTGTCCAACTGTGTAAATTAGAGACAATGGGTAGTAACGAAAGTGCTTCTCTCCCTGTAGATGAAAAGAACTTTGTCTGCAGGAGAAGCGCAGGCTCTCCCACCTCCCCAAAGCTAGTTTTGTACAGGCTCTCCTACCCTCGCCCCCAAGCCAGTTTTGCACTGAGTAACCTATTCCTACCAGCATATTCCTGCTGTTTGTCTGTGGATCTGACAAACTCCTTACTGGTTGCTTCATTAATAAGCTAAAAAATTCATATAATATATTCATTTTATATTTTCATGAGAGACACAATTTTATCCTCTTAAAATCAATTATGTTTTTAAAAATAATTTTCGAGACGTTAAAAAAATATTACTTGTGTGAGTGGTTTTTTTTTTTGCCTGCATTTATCTGTACACCACGTGTGCAGTGCCTGTAGAGGCCAGAAGAGGGTGTTGCATCCCCTAGAACTGGAGTTATAGGTTGTTGAGAGTCATGCGGATGCTGGGAATTGAATCCAGATCCTCCAGTCAGTGCTCTTAACCGCCGAGCCATCTCTGCAGTCTGAAAGCAATTATGTCTTAGCAGGAATCCTTGGTAAACTCTTCAAAATGAATCCTTATTCCTTCCTCACCGCTACACTTCTGCCCAGACTTCAGATGTCTACACTTTAAGAGTGTTTCAGTGTAATCCCTCTTACTGGAGAGGTTGAAACAGGAGAATGGCAAGTTCAATGCTCGCCTGGGCAATTTAGGGAGATCCTGTCTGAAAGTAAGGAGAAAACAAGAGCTGGTGCTAGAGAATGAGCTCAGAGGGGGAATGTTTAGCAAGTGTACGCCAGCCTTAGGGTTTACGACCACCAGGGGGCGTGGAGGTCTTCGCAGTCCGCGTGCGGCACTGTGGCCGGAGGTGAGAAAAGGGATCAGAGTTGAGAACCGCAGGGCTGGCTCATACAGCCCAAGCCCCGCCTTGCTTGACGATCTTTATGGCAGCGGAGGAAGTCAGTAGGAGAGAGTGCACATCGCAGAGGGCAAAGTCCGGTTGGAATTAAGAAAGTATCTAGGACCTTTAAAACTGAACGCAAAGCCCAAGATCCTTTCCGAACTTGAGACCTAAGTCTTCGCTGGCTCCAATTGTTGACCGCCACCCCACTTGAAATGCCATTTCTTACCCAAAATCAAATAGGAGGAGACGGGGAAGGGCACGGTTGAAGAGGGAAGGACAGTGAGAGGAACCACACTTTTCCAAAAATTCTTCAAATGCCGAGGCTCTAACAGCAAGGGGATGTGTGGGGCTTAAATTTTCCAAACCAAACATCTCTATCCTACAACCCTGCCCTGTAGTTACAAGTCAGTGGCTTCTTTCCTCAAACAGGCTTCGCAGCGAACTGCTAAGTAGTTTCTGATTTATGGCTACGGAAACGGAATCCTCTAGAGGAACAGGATTTCCCTAACAGTTATTCAAATTGTTAGTAAAAAGTGACGAAATCGCCTACACGTCTCCGAGAGGCACCGAGGCCACCAGCTGCATAACCCCCCAAATTCCTCGCCGCAGCCGAATCCACTGCGTCTCTTCTCCAGTTACGTTCTCTGGAACAGGTCTCTAAGGACCGCGCAGTTCTGTACGTCGTAGATTCCTTCTTTGAGGCGGAATATCTCTTGAGCATCATCAGAACATTACCCCCTCCCCCCTGCACCCCTTTCCCCCCGCCTCAATCAAAGGGAGCAGGAACCAGCTTGTCTTTAACGGGACGAATCCGCGGAGGGCAGTAACGGAAAATATGGAGTCGAAGCCAGGCAGATCTCTTCTCTTTTTCTCTGCCCTGCGGGGCTGGGCACCCCCCGAAGGCTTCTGCTTCTTGGGATGCCAAGACACACCGGGTGGCGCTGGAGCGCGTGCGCGGTCCCTTTAAGCAGGAGCGCGGGGCGCGGCCCAGGTACGGGGCGGGTCGAGGGGCGGGCGGGCGCTGAGCCGGCGCTGGTCCGGGAGCCGGATTTGGAGCGCGGCGCCGGCGGGGGCCGGAGGGGGCGGCGCGGCGGACCTCGGTGGCCTCGGACGCTCCTCCTCGTGAGCGGCCGCCGCCCGCCTCCGCCTGCGCTAGCAGCTCCCGCGCCCCGGCCGGCACCCGCTGCCGCTCCTGGCAGCTCACCTGGGACGCGGTGCTCGCCGCCGCCCGCACTTGGGCCAGGATGAAGGACCGGCTGGAGCAGCTGAAGGCCGTGAGTTTGCAGAACCTGGGGATCTGGCGGGCCGGGGGCTGCCGGGATCAGCCGTCGGGAGGAGTGGTGTGGGAGAGGGGCTTCCCTCAGCTCCCCTAACCCAGGCCGCCCGGGTGCTCTTCGAGCTAGGCCTCTCTCCTTAAGCCCCCGCCTCATCCCGCGGAGCTCTGTACCCTCCCCTGCAGGGTCATGTGCTTGGTGATTCATCACCTAGCAGCGATTTCCCTGAACGCCCGTAACCCTCTCATCCCTGTTCCCCCCACAAGCTGGACAGGGTTCCTCAGAGCTGGACCCACCCCGGTACTTGAAATCAGTGGGGCTTATGGTGAGGTCAGGAGACTCAACCTCACCAGCTGCCTTCTGCCGCCTGGCACTGTGCCGCAAATGGGCTTCCTCTTCTCTTCCTTATTTCCCTCCCGGAGCACCGGGCAGGGCTTCCCCATCCCCGGAGTAGCTGAGAGTTCCGGGTGAGCTCTGGAGCTGTGAGCTTGTCAGGTGCTGGGATGGGCTCCCCTCCTACCATCTGGTGGTCTCTTATTTTTCCTTGCATCCCCCCAGACAGCTGTGGTCGTGTCTGCCGCACAAAAGATGAAAAGCTTAGGTCACTTACTCTTTTGAGCCTATTTCCTTGTCTGTCAAGTGAGAATCACCCTCCCTTATAGTTCTTTTATGAAGACGGAATGACACAATGCGACTTGATATAGGGAAGTGCTGAAGTATGAAACTTTGAGATATAGATTCATTTAATAAGTCATTGAGTACGTTCTACGGGGCAGGGCTAGTGTGAAACTTTGGTGACTCACCCAGTGATACAAGCTGCCCCTTAATGGAATATAAAGCCCAGCCTTGGATACTCACAGGCGAGTCCATCTACCTGCCAGCCTACAAGTGCATCAGCTTAGGGCACAGTCAGGACCTGGTGAAGGTCTCACTGAATCCTCCCAGGTGATTACTGAGCTCCTTAGAGTTGGGAAGTATTAGCGCTGGGGCTTTGTCCTGCCTGGCCCCGCTGCTTACTGGTTACCCTTTAAACTCCAAGCTTAAGTTTTGTTATCTGTAAAATGAGTAGCTGTGCAAGCTAAAAGCAAGCGAGCCTGTAGAAGAGCCCTGTGTATGGCACATAGGACTTAATACATAGTAAGTGTTACGCTCATAACTTTTTTTTTTTTTAATAGAAATGTTGGTGGCCAGTGGGTTGATATCGTAATTGTTTTACGTTCTCCTCCCTTACTAGGGTGAGATCTTCTCCATGTGTTCACATGCTCTGGGAACTGGGCTGCAGTGTAGGCTTAGGAGAAACGAGAGAAGGAAGGGGCAGTTGCTTACTTAGTGGGAGTGAGCCTCTGCCCCCAATTTGCTCTTTTACATTTGAGCCTCAGAGCATCCTGTTAACTAAAGTGCACAATTTACTTGTCTCTGTTTTAGAGGTGGGGAAGCTGGGGCTCACTCTGGGGGTAGGGGGGATGACCCTTCTCAAAGAGCTCAAAGCTGAACAGCAGTCACAGGCAGCCCCCTTCCTTTAGTTAGGGAATCTGTTTCTGGACTGATACTCCCTGGCTTTTTTCAACAGGGTAGTCTTAAGTGAGCTTTGAGTTCCAAGAATAGGGCATTTTCCAGGGAACGGGAGCAAATCCCTGTGCCTTTCAGTCCTTCAGGGTCAACCTCTATAAAACAGGGCTAATGACTAATGATGCACTTCTTCCCTTCACTCTTTGGAATGTAGTGAAAGTGATGCTGTGTGGCGGTGCTGTTATTATGGCAGTGTGCTGAGACCACAGGGAGGCTGCTGTCCTGTTCTGGAGCCCTGCCATGCAAAGAGGACTGGGCTGAGGTTCAAAGACTTCTCTAATTGAGGCCCTGACACTTAACAGCTGGGGTCCTTTTGCAGCTTCACCTTGTGCTGCTGCCACCCCCCTGCTGCTTCTTGATTGTGTTTATTTACTCATTGGCAATTTCATACACGTATATACGACGTATCTTGATCACATTGGACCCAAATCCTCCCTCCTCTATTCTCCGATAACTTCCAATAATACTCCCCCTTTTGTACCTTCATGTCTTCTTTTTTCTTTTATTTTCCTCTTAAATTTTTTTTTATAAAGCTGACTGAGTCCAGTAAAGGGCAGCTTGCATGCAAATGAGTATGGGGCCATCTACCAGAGCCTGGGCAGCCTACCAGGTCCAGAAGGAAGAAAAAAAGATTCCCACTTTCCTACAAGCCATCAGCTGCCAATAGCTCTTCACCTGGGGGTGGAGCCTCATGAACCCACCCCCGTTGATAGGTGATGGAATGTTGACTGACTAGATTTTGTGCAGGCCATCACAACTTCTGTCTGTGGGTTCTTGAGTGCTACAGTCATGTCATGTCCAGAAGACAGCATCTCATCGCAGTTCTCCCCAGCCTGGCTCTTACATCTTTTCTTCTTCCTCTTCCACTCTATCCCATGAGTCTGGATGGTGGTGATATAAAATGTCCCAGCTAGGGCTGAGCACCCAACTGTCACTCACTCCCAGCACCGACCAGTTAGGAGACTCTGCATTGACTGCTGCCCACTGCACCCAGGAGTGTCTCTGACCAAGGTTGGGAGCAGCACTAGTCTAAGGGCACAAACACACATACTTAGAAGGCGCTCTGACAGCATGACCATTATCAAAGCGTCAAAAGGAGGTACTCTCACCTCTGAGCTTCTTGATGCTTCCTTTGTAAAACAAAAACCGGTTGGTCTCAGAAGATGCTTCTGCCCTAATTAATGGTTTCCGTGAAGAATGTTAAACTTTCTGTGCATTATCAACCATTTTGTGGTGTATCATCCCTTTCTTCCTGTCCCTTATCCCAGGAACCTCCTTTTTGGCAACAAGATAGGGCATGGTCCCTCTCTGATTCCTGTTATCTACAAAAAACATTTGCTAACCTGAATGCAACACATTTCCCATTGAGCAGCCTGTGTAATGTCTTTCTAAACCCCAGGGGGGAGAGGGTGATGGCTGCCTTCAGATAGCGGGGCTGTGTCATGTGCTTGAGACTAGTTTGGCCGTGAGTAGATAGGCGGGAAAGATGTGGGGTTGATGGGTAGAAATCAGAAATCTTTAAGTAAAAAAAAAAAAAAAAATCCCAAAAAACAAACAAATGAACAAAAAAACCAAAATGTAATTAGCAGCCAGGTGTGGTGGTGCATGCCTTTAATCCCAGCACTTGGGAGGCAGAGGTAGGAGGATCTCTGTGAGTTCGAGGCCAGCTTGATCTACAAAGTGAGTTCCAGGGCAGCCAGGGCTGTTACACAGAGAAGCCCTGTCTCAGAAGAAGAAAAAAAAATGTAATTGGTTGCTTAAGAATTGGGCAGGCCAGCTGAACAGGTACTGAGTCCTCTAGCATGAGAGGCAAGCAGGAAGATTGTTGAGGTGCTGAATGCTGTAGGACTTTGAGCGTCTCTTGAGGGAGGGAAGAAGTGTGAGATTGAAGACCTCCATGAACCCTGAGAGTGTGTGGTTTTGTGAAATGCTTTTTGTCTTACTGTTCTGGAGTCCCCAAGGATTGAGGCACCAGAGCCACACCTGTCAAGGTGATCATCAGTCTTTCCCCCAGGGGCCCTGGACAGGTAAAAGAGATAATCTGTGACAATCAGTGATGGTTATCTACTATAGTACATGTGAGCTGTCCATAATTAGCTCCCTGGGAGCAATGTCCTCCCTAAACCTAAGGGTCTAAGGCTGTAGTCACGGGGCCCGGCTTACCTTATCTCCCGACTGCTCCTCCTCAGGGGCTCCCATCAGCATTTTCTTGTTGATCTCGAAGTTTTCTGGGAACGTGCCGTGACTGCACGCAACCCTTCCGTTCTTCTCACGCGCGTTTTACTAGCTGAACTTTGAATCTGCTGGACAATTCCTGGCCCAGAAACCTCTTGTGTGCTCCTGTTTATATTCAGTAAACATTTGCTAAGTGCCTGTTGTGTGCCAGGCCCCACAGTCGATGCTGGGATGTAGTCTCGAGCAACGTTTGTTTCTGGCACTTAGGAAGTTCACAGTTGGGTAGAGAGAACAGAGGACTAGACGGTGTGATGTGTGATTCTTGTGACAGAAGCAACAGTAGGAAGACCCTGCTGACTGGCCTCTGGGAGACAGGAGATGAGTCTGGGGGTGCTATTCCCAGCAGTAGTTTTCAATAGAGGCTCCTCTTCAAATCTAATGCAGTCTCTTCAAATAGAATTTATTTGGAAGAAGGTGTGGATCCTAGATTTTCTCTGTCTTTGGTGAGTGCTTTTTATATAAAGCACCAAAAACATAAAAATATGCATGCCAACATCAAAAGAGGTGTGTGGTGTGGTGTGGTGTGGTGTGGTGTGTGTGTGTGTGTGTGTGTGTGTGTGTGTGTGTGTGTGTGTATTTACAGTACATCCTGGCCAGCATAATCAGAACTTTTAGCACCGTATTTAGCTTGTATCCTGCTGCATAAGAGGTTTGGCAGAATTATTGTACAAAGTCCTTAACCTTAAAGAATAATTGGTCAAGGAGGGGAAACAAATGTATTTCATGGAAGAGAAACAAAGTAAAACCTCATAATGAAAACTGAGTAGCCAGTAACTGAGTTCCTTAGGGTAATGTGCAGTAATCCTGTCAGAAATAAGGGGCTGTGCTTCTGCTTTAAAGTTGAGTTTAGTCAGTAGGTGAGTGTTTGCCTATCCCTGCTCTGTGCCTTGGATCATAATAAATCTTACCATACCAACTTGCCCTTTGTTGAGATTCCGTCTTTCTTTAGTAATAGGATTTCTGACCAGTCTGGATTCCCTCCTCACCTCCTCCCTGTACCAGGGAGGATTCATTTCCTGCAAGGGCTGTTTTTCTGCGAGTAGACAGGAGCAGAGATGAGAGTGATAGGGATTGAGTAGGGATTATAGACCCATCAGCTGGAGGCCAGAGAGAAAATGCTTGGATGAGAGAAGGGGATTAATTTTATTTTTATTCCTGTGAGCTTGGGGGAGGTTAGGGGACTGGCAGGAGCGCGT